GGGGGGGGGGGAGCGCTTTTGTAAAGAGAACTCGTATTCAAATAAAGTTCGTAAGGATCGATCGAGGTTTCGTGCTGAATTTGAATTCGAGTATGTGTAAGCGAGGCAACGGGTGGGTCGGCACTGAGGTAGGGATGGGAGTCGGGCTTCGGTTGGTTGTTGGTTTTGTTGCTATATCTGGTTAGAGCGTCGAAGCTCCCGGATTCCCGTATTCTCTCTCTTCTGCTCTTCTTCGCTGCATTCTCGTGTCTTTACTTACTACCACTGTCCTCTACTCTATGTGAAATATACGTAGACGCTGCTACGGATTACAGTCAGACATTATTAAAGGATAAACCTCTTTTGAAGATACATCAGATTCGAGCAACGTATCCATATACACTTATACACACGTGTACCATAGGCATAAATGCGCGATATGTTGCTGAATCAACATTTTCTTACTGTCCTACGTTAACATGCTAATGAAATTGAGCATCCTGCTTTTTTTTTCTGATAATTGTGATTTGTAACGATATAGATGTAAAACGATATATTAACCTTAAGGCAAAGTGTGCGTTAGAACAATCCGATAAGTGAGATACGTGCATAGATTATAAGGAATATGTTAGTTATTTTAGCGATCGAAAGACGGCGGCGGCACCTGACGTTTCTAGGAACTAGCAAGCAAAGAGGAGCTCCCTCGCGAAAGGAGTAAGGATGCCAGCGTAAGACATTACATTAAATCATTAAATCATTAAATCATAGGCGTGCATTTAAATTGAATTCTCACTGACCGTTCCCCGTGGCTGTCATCAGTCCGCTCCCCAGTTGACGAAGTTTGCTGAATGTCGTAGCCGTTTCTTCAGGCGTTACGGATCCACCGGAGGTTCCGATACTTCCGGATTCCGGGTGCGCTGTCACCATCTTCCGGTCAAGACGAGCATGTATTCATTAAACTGTCTCGAGTACTGGTTGCGCCGCAAGATACTTGCTTGGGCACTTGACCAATTGCCTCTTACCTTCTTCATAAAAGACATAACGTTAGTGGGAAGCATCTTCGCAATTTGAAGCGCCCGCACTTGTCGATCCGGTATTACTCTTTTGTCACGGGCCACGGCGTGTGCAGAGCGTGTCAGCGGATTTTCAAATTAGCCGGAGATGTGGAATTACGGAACCGCGCTGCGCCACTGACTCGCCTGCCAGTCTTGCATCCCTCTGCCTCTCATTTAAGCACCCTCTCTCGCAGGTGCCTGGAATGTCATTTGAAAAAATCGTCTTTACGATATCGTGTAGAGCTCGTGATACAACATACATTGAGTTCGAATAGTGAACTTCCTATCTTTCCTCTCCCTCCCGCTCCGACCATCCTACCTACCTAATTCTCATCCTAATTCCTATACAGCAACGGAGAACCGATAGTTGAAATATTACGAGATACACGATATATCTTCCTGAACGAGAAGCGATTCGCAGAGACTTTGGGATGAGGAATTTCGCGCAATTGCGCGTTACTCGTACTTTTTTCGATTCTTGTCTCATCTTCGATCATTTTCGATACCGTACAGTCGGGATTACGCTTATATTATGGTAAAGTTTCATTTGGACGTTCCCTCGTGTCCATCCGAGATTGACGCCAGGCTAATATCCGACGTCTCGGCTACTTTTTGATTTCACATTATGTGTCTTTCCATTTGATGTGTGTCTCCGGGTAGGAGGAATAGGAAAAATAGGAAGAATAGGGAGAATAATGGGGG